GGCGGGATGAGGTTAGTAGGTAGGAGATGGGGGTGGGGCTTGAGGTGGGAGGAGGGGATAGGTGGGAGGAAGGACAGATTAGGGAGACAGAGATGAGCTGGGCTGGTTTTGCACCTCCAAGTCGTGAACCATTTCAACTCCCCCTCCCATTCCTCAGACGCCATGTTCATCCTGGGCCTCCTGCAGTGCCACAACGATGCCACCCGAAGGTTACAGGAACAGCAACTCATATTCCGCTTGGGAACCCTGCAGCCCAATGGTATCAATGTAGATTTCACAAGCTTCAAAATCTCCCCTCCCCCTACCGCATCCCAAAACTAGCCCAGCTCGTCCCCGCCTCCCTAACCTGTTCTTCCTCCCACCTATCCCCTCCTCCCACCTCAAGCCGTACCCCCATTTCCTACCTACTAGCCTCATCCCGCCCCCTTGACCTGTCCGTCCTCCCTGGACTGACCTATCTCCTCCCTACCTGCCCACCTATACTCACCTTTACTGGCTCCATCCCCGCCTCTTTGACCTGTCTGTTTCCTCTCCACCTATCATCTCCTCTATCCATCTTCTAACCGCCTCCCCCTCTCTCCCTATTTATTTCAGAACCCCCCTTCCCCTCCCCCTTTTCTGATGAAGGGTCTAGGCCCGAAACGTCAGCCTTTCTGCTCCTATGATGCTGCTTAGCCTGCTGTGTTCATCCAGCTCTGCACGTTGTTGTCTCGGATTCTCCAGCATCTGCAGTTCCTACTATCTATGACCCTTCTGATGAAGGGTCTAGGCCCGAAACGTCAGCCTTCCTGCTCCTATGATGCTGCTTGGCCTGCTGTGTTCATCCAGCCGTGCACCTTGTTATCTCAGATTTTCCAACATCTGCAGTTCCTGCTATGTCAAAGACCAGAGTGGGTTTTTTTTTCAGTGTTCTGACTAACATAATTCCTTCAACCATTGCTGCTGGAAACAGTTGGCAGTTTAGATCACTGTGCAGAGAATGGTTGGCACATCTTGCCTCCACATCGACGGACGAGGCATTTCAAATTGATATGTCAGTATCTGAAGTGTTACGGCTGTGTTGTGAGCTGTGCGATGAGGAAATCAGAGAATAAACAGCACAGTGAGGTCTGACTGGATTGTCAGGCTAGATGATGGCAAAGAAGTAGGATTGTAAGCGAGCAAGGTTTAGAAGTTAGAAAGTCAACCATTGTTGCATGGGAATGTATGGGCTGCTGCACTGTCGTACGTCACAAGCCTTGGGCTCTGTGTAATCTTTCTTTTTCCTTGTGCAGGGCTGGTGGTTCGGGAAGTTCACATCGAGGTCTCTCGGCAGCAGGTGGAGGAGCTGTTTGGTTTAGAAGACTTCTGGTGTCAGTGCGTCGCTTGGAGTGCGTCAGGAACGACCAAGAGCAGGAGAGCATATGTCCGCATTGCCTGTGGGTATACCCTCATATTGTACTACACACCTCACCATCCTGGGTGGGCTCCTTGCCATAAACTGGAATTTATAGTGTTGCTCGGTACTGTCTGCGCAACTTATTTTTGGAAATCACGGGCAATAAATGTCAGTGATGCCCATATCCCCTGAAAAAATAAATCACCTTTTCCTCTTTTCTCTCCCCCTGTTCTGGCCCAATTTCATACGAAGCGCAATAGAATCGCAGGAGGCATTCAGAACAAGCTAGTATTCAGAAGCGATCCTGGACCAATGTGAGCCCTTCCTCTGCTAACTCCAATCTTATCATCCCCTTGACACTTGACAATTGCTATTGAAGCAATCAGGAAGTGAGCTCCCATACTAAGGCGATTTGTTCTGTAATCTCCATTTGAGATGAACGCATTCGGTATTAACTGGATTTGAACCTGCAATGTCCCTCAGAAAGTGTCTCACTTCAGGAGTTAGTTAGACTTGGTTGATACTTGGACGGGAACCTTGGGAAATACCAGGTGAGGTAGGCTTTTGTTTCCAGCAGAGAGGCAAATCTCATTATGCACTTGTGTTCTGCCACACAATGGAATGGCAGGCCATTCAGGGGGCTCTTCGCTTGCACAACACCAGTGTCCCTACCTTTTGAAATAACTCTTCAGAAGCTGGCATCCCCATCACCAATCACCCTTTATTTACAAATGCACAGCCTTTGACAATAGCACTGCCTCGCATTGAGTCAGGCATTCAGCCCCTCAATATCCCTAACATTCACCCTTTTATGTCTGCCAGGGCTCCCTGACTGAACCAGATTAACACCCCCAATTAGGGAACTCATATTCTATGAGGTCCAGCTGGCTGACCTCGTTACGTTTACACTACATCTTTCACCCAGAAGTTCTTTGTTCAAATCCCACCTGCTTCTACATTTGTCCTTTCAGGTTCTGTTTCCCATTGGATATTGCTTAACCAATTGAACTGTTGCAAACAATAAATATCACCAAATGAGGCCATTTGGCCCAACCAGCTCCACTTGAGGTTGCTCTTATCTTTCTTCAGTTAAATCTCTCACTCTCTATTACCTACTCCTTCGTTTGCCAGCCATGTGTCTGTCCTACTCACTTTAACCACTCCCCAAGGTAGCAAGTTTCACATTCCCACTAATTGCTAGGTAAAAAATGTCTCTTCTGAATTCCCTACTGGATTACTTTGTGACTGTCTTGTGTTGATGATCCTTAGTTATACATATTGCCAAAAGAGGAACTAGCCAAGTCCTATTTTGATTAGGAACTACACAAGTGAGTGATCTAAAACAATAAACTATCATCTTCTCCTGGAGCTGAATGTCAAAATGTGACATACCTTCATCTGACCTCAATTTGCTGGTGTCCTAGGTTAGCAATAAGAGCTGAAATACGCCATTCTGCCCCTTAAACCTATTCCAGCATTCAATAAGCTATTATGGTAGATCTACCTCAACTCCCATATGGCCCCCACCTCATTATTACCTTACTACTCAAAAATCTATTGATTTATGTCTTTGTTTTACTTGACAACCAAATGTCCAGGGTTCTATAGGGTGAGAGATCGTTCTGTGATTCCATTGGAAACAATGAGACACAATGGGTTCTGGAAGTCAAAGTAAAATTTTGTCACAGAATCCCAGTTATAGTACAGATGGAGGCCATTTGGCCTATCATGTCTGCACCAGCTCTCTAATGAGCATTACAACTTAGTGCCATGCTCCTGCCTATTCCCTCTACCCTTGCAAATGGTTTCTATTTAAATAATCATCTCATACCCTATTGAATGCCTCAGTTGGACCTGCCTACACCACGCTCGCAAGCAGTGCGTTTCAGACAGTGTTGTGTTTGTCTGAAACAGTTGCTAATTTGACAGAGGGTGTAATCCCATTCACCGCCACTCCTGAATTCAGTATAATTCTGTTCTTGTCACCTCTTGGCTTAGAAATCAGGGAATACCTTGTGGCCAGAATCAGATCACTGTAAAAGAGAAATAGTTGAGTTCTTAAGAGAAGACATTGATGGCTAAATATTTCTTCAACTTTGATAATGAGGTTTCATGGGCAAGCATGGAGCTTGCTGGATTGTTAGAGAAATTGCGAGATTAATTTCCCAGTGTTCTTCTTAACCAAACCCAAGGATGTAGAATCAGGATAAAAACCAGTTAGCTCCCACCTGAGCCTGTTCCACCGAGTTAAAGTTACTGACCCTGCAGGTTTGGCCTGTAGCCTCCAAGAATTTGAGGTTAATCTCACGGACACTGATGTGTACAACCCTGGAGAAAATTCACGGACATTAAAATACAATATTTCTTTGTCATTTTCTCCAAACTTTTCTCTCTGACTGATGTAAAAGTATTGGAGATTGGATTTTTAAAAAAATAGGCTGTTTAGCTGACAGTCAATCACCATCTAGCTGAGACTTCTTGCCTTTTCCAGTTGGTGTAGGCATATAGTGCATCACCAGCATGCATGTATTAGTCAATTACTGACTGAAGCATGGGGGCAAGTCACGGGGGGGAGTACATTTAACCTCAGTTCATAATACCATCCGTTATTTCATTAGATAACTGCTGATCTACAACTGGATTCCATAGACCTGTCATTGTCCCTTACTGCTTAATACTATTGGCTAACAAACATCTATCAACCACAGATGTACAACTGACAGTTTATCTAGGGTCAAATGTCATTTGTGGGAGAGAGTGCTAAAATTCGACTACCCTTTGTACAATCTAGGAACAAGAATAGGCCACTCTGCCCTTCGAGCCTGCTCTGCCATTCAGTACAATCATGGCCGATCCGATTTCAATCTCGAGTCTACATTCCTGCAAATCACCCATCAATCTATCATCCCACTTGGTCATCGAGAATCTATCTACTCCATCTTAAAAAGATTTCAAAGATTCTGCACCATTACCTTTTGAGACTGAGTGATTGATTGATTGATTGTTGTCACATCTATCGAGATACAGTGAAAAGTATTGTTCTGTGTGCTATACTGGCAGATCGTACCATACAAATTGCGTGAGGGTAGCAGAACAGAGTGCAGAATAAAGTGTTACAGCTGCAGAGAGTGAGATCAGAATTAATATTTGAGAGGCTGTTCAAAAATCTGATAGCAGTGGGGAAGAAGCTGTTAAATCTGTTCATACGTGTATTCAAACTTTTATATTTTTCTGCCCAACAGAGGGTGGAAAGACCAGCATAGAAGGGGTCTAATACTGTATTGGTTGCTTTCCCGAGGCAGTGGGAAGAATAGATGGAGTCAATGGATGGAAGGCTGGTGTGTGTGATAGACTGGGCTGTGTTCACAGCTCTCTGTAGTTTCTTGTGGTCTTGGGAAGAGCAGTTGCCAAACTACGCTGCGATGCGTCTGGATAGGATGCTTTCTATGGTGCAATGGAAGGGAATTCCAAAGACTCTCAACCCTCTGAGATAAGAAAAAGTGCCCTCACCTCAGTCTTTAATAGGCGATCCCTTATTTTTAGAACTTGGAATCCTAGGTCTAGATTCTGCCACAAAAGGAAACATCCTTTCCAGATCCATCTGATCAAGTCTCCTCAGGACCTTTGTACGGAGAAGTATTTCTTAATTTTACTGTGGCAGGGGCTTGCTCTAATTTTGATACCATGTCTCTTCGCAGTAGCATTGGTTGGCAAGTGGACTCCTTTTATTCATCTATGGGATGTGGGCCAACATTTATTGACCATCCCTAATTATTCAGAAGGCAGTTAAGAGTCAACCACATAGCTGTGGGTCTGGAGTCACATGTAGATCAGACCAGGTAGGGATGGCAGTTTCCTTCCCTAAAGGACATTAGTGAATCAGATGGGCTTTTTTTCCGACAATCGACAATGCCTTCATGGTTATTGTTAAACTCCTAATTCCAGACATTTTATTGCAATCAAATTCCACCATCTGCCATGACAGGATTTGAACCCAGATGCCCAGAATATTTCCTGGGTGTCTGGATTTACAGTCTAATCATCATGCCACTAAACCTCACATAGCCAGAGGTGTGGTCATGGAGAGTACACCCATAATGCTGATTGACAGTTAATAGCCAAGTTTTGTTTACATTTGCTGCATGCCAATGAATCAGCACTCTCCTGTCATGCAGTATGACTTCCCCCTCGATCTGGTATTCTTGCAGAATGTCATAATGCCTGCAAGATGAAAAACTTTGACAAAATGTGTTTTTTCTTCGGCAATACTAATGCCCAGTGGCATCACCGTTAAACTAGCATCCTCTGCCCTGCCCTTCTCAAGGTGTGGTCAGCACAGGTCTCCACTGGGTAAATGTTGGTGAGCCACATCCCTTTCCCCAGACCACCTCCCTCAACCCCCTATATTTCACCTCAATAATCCAGTGCCTTCCTCTCTACCCTTCCATAGATTGTTTCCTGGATTCAATTCATTTCGAGATCTCCAAAATGAAGAGTTTTTCTAGCCGGTCTCTCTCTCTCTCCCTCAAGTTCTGTCTCGCTCTCTCTCCAGTGCAGAAAGAGGACCAAAAATGTAGCAGCACCCTTGTAACAGAAATGAAATGAATACAGTATATAATGCTACGTAAGAGCAGAATGCCAGACAGCGATTAGAAATCTGCAGTTAATCTAATTTCAGGGTTCATTTGACAGTGATAAACCATTCACAGTTCACTCATGCAGTTAGTGACATCAGCTGGACCCCTCAATCAGATTAGTGGTCAGTAATCACTCCCAGGTGTCCCTTAGACACCAGATGACTCAGAGCAGCTCTTACAGTTCCAGCCCTCTGCTGCACACTTTGCTTTGCCACATCCATTTCAAAGCACTGACACAAATTGAAAACACTCAGCTCAAAGCCCACCAAAGGTTTCCTTTACAGAACCCAAGGCTCGCATGTTTAGCTGTTTTTTTTCCAAGGGCTCAATTCCTAAATGGAGTGACACAAAGTCCTAAAATCTCTCTCAGGGACAAAAGGACGAGTCAGCTTTAAAAGCTGAA